GGGGGGGGGGGGTACCGCCGGACCCAGGGTCCGAAGTCCCGAAACCACAACCAAAGCCTCGCAGCCCAGACCATCCCAGTCCGTACCTTGACCCACCAGAACCGACTTTTTTTTTGTCGGTTCCCTAGAAATTCCATATCAGGGTTTAGAATAAGAACCTACCCAAAAAAAGTGGGCTTTGGTAGGGTTTAGAATAAGAACCTGCAAAAAAAAAGTGGGCTTTGGTAGGTTAAGGTAGAGTCTAAACTAGCTAGGCTCCTAGGCCGCAAGGCCACACGGCCCTAAAGCTCTAATCCCCCAAGGCCTTTTGCAGGGTTGCACAGAACCCTAAACCCTAAACCCTAAACCCTAAACCCTAGAGCCGACAATTTAGACCCCAAGCCGAATCGCCAGGTGCATGCACTGCAGCTGGCGAGGCCCGCAGAGGGACGTGTGATGCTTTTCCCACCATTCCTACAACACGCAAGCCTGCGGCTTGGGCTTTAGGGGTTTAGGGTTTGGGGAGAAGGAGCGTGTTTAGGGTTTGCACTTGAATCGTTGGACTTGGAGTTCCGGGGGGAGGGGCAGGTGGGAGGCGCAATATCATGAATCGCTCAGGAAGAGTTGCCTTGATCTTTCCGAGCCCCGGGTAGATTGCATCATGCTTATACTTAGTGGCTGAGTAGGCAACCTTGAACCTTTTGGGGCTCTTATAATCCTACTATAATTCAAAAGGTTGACCTTTTTTGGGGCTAAGGTACTCGGCCCCTAAGTATAAGAAATGCTCCTCAAAATCGACTAGGATTTCCGTGACGTTAGCGAGTAGCTGAGGGGGTAGGATATTACCTGTAGTCTCCAGGGTAACCTTAAGGGATCCTAAGCATATAATTGGTGAAGCCGAAAAAAGGACAATGGAGACTATAGAGGCGGCAGACTTAATAATACGAATCCTAAACCACCCCAAACCCTTAACCCCGAAAGTCCTAAACCCCTAAACCCCTAAAGCCCTAAACCCCTAAACCCCTAAAGCGCTAAACCCCTACAACCCTTAACCCTAAACCCCTAAACCCCTAAACCACTAAACCCTGAACCCCTAAACCCCTAAACCCTAAACCCCTAAACCCCAAACGAACCCTAAACCCTAAACCCTGAACACAAAACCCTAAACCCGAAACCCTAAACCCTAAGCCCTAATATCACCGCGGGAGATTCTGGGCCGCATGTTGGACCTGTTCTGATGCCTGAGGGTTCCTTTACGGGGTTCTGTAAAAGGTACCCAATTTTCGTTTTGGGGTTTAGGATTTAGGGTTAAGGGTTCCGTACAAGGTACCATAAGGGTTCTATTAAGGTACCATCCGGGTTGCGGGTTTAGGGTTTGCGGCTCCGTGTACTTATATAGTACATACTTTGGCCCTGAAGTACCAGCACAGGGGCTACTTTAAGGCCAAATCGGCTGATCAGCCAAATCATGGTCTTGTAGGGTCCTTTGCCGTACAATATTTGGGACCTAAACAAAGGGTCCCTACGGCAGAGAACTACGCACATCTACATGGGCACCCTAAACCCTAAAACATGGATCCTTCAAAATTTGCAGTGACACGACCAGGCAAGAGCTGCTTGCTGTCCAGCCCGGGCCTCGGCAGTGTAGCACTGTTTCGGGTTTAGGGTTTAGGGTTTAGGGTTTAGTTTAGGGTTTAGTGTTTACGGTTCTGGGGAATTAATCTTGAAGCCGAGAAAAGCAAGGCTAAGGCAAGCAAGCCATCAACCATCCAAGCCTAAATCTAGGAAGCCCAGCGCCCTCATGGACCCTGAACCTCGCAAGCTAAACCCTAAACCCTAAACCCTAAACCTTAAACCCTAAACCCAGAAGAAGCCCGATCTTCCGAAGCCTTTCAGCCTTTTGAGGTTACGGTTGAGGACCGCGGCCGTATCACACCCCCTCAACCCCGCAATCCCCATGTCGTACATAGAAGCTCAGGCGCCCTGAAACCCAATATTCCCTAAAGCCTAAGCCCTAAACCCTATACCCATCTTGCCTCACAAAAACCTATACCTTAAACCCTATATGGTTTAGGGTTGGGGGCCTGGATCCTTCGCCCGACGTCAGCTCCGTGACCCAGAGCATAAACTGTTCTACCCTCAACCCCTCAACCCCCCAACACCTCATATGCCGCAACCCAAACTCCTATACACCCCTAAACCCTAAACCCTAGACCCTAGACCCGAAACCCTAAACCCTAAACCCTAAACCCAACGCCAAAGCCCTTAACAAAGCCCCTGCAGTAGTGCAGCTTCTCCTTACAGATAGTGCCTGCCTGTTCCGCCGTCGTTCAGCTCACTTCCAGGTACAGCTCCTCACTCTGGGGGACAAAGCCCCGAGGGCCGCGGAAGATGGGCGCTGTCTCTCGGCATCGGTTTACTACTGTAGTTCTGCTGGTTTTCCAGTGCTTACAGCGGTGTTGCAGGGTTTGAGCCCTTCGATAGTAAAAGTTAAACCCCTAAGCCCTAAGCCCTATGGTGGCTTGAACGGAGGATTTCCTTGATAAGAAGCAAGTTTAGCTTTTTCGGGCACCTGTGTTTAGGGTTCAGGATTCGAGTTTCTTGCTATTGGGGGTTTGCGGCTTAGGCTATAGGCTTTAAAGATTCGAGATTGGTTCAACAATCACTCCGGCAATTCCCTTGCGGTGTAACTGACATACCTCTAAACCCTACCTTAGGAACCCAAAACCTACTTTTTTGTAGGGTCCCTATAAATCCCATATTAGGGTTTATAATGAGAGCCTACAAAAAAGTGGGTTTTGGGTTTATAGGGTAAACCCTAAACTTGGGCTTGTTGTTTTGGGGCTTCAAGAGTTCAGTCCGCCCGCACTATAGGAAGGCGCCTCTAAACGGAATCGTCGCTGTCAGCTCGATGAAGCTGCACATAAGAGTTTAGGGTTTAGGGTTGAGGGTTTAGGGTTGAGGGTTGAGGGTTTATCAGCAAGGCAAGTTACTGCAGGACATTCGTCATTGCTGTGATAGTCGAAGAATGCTGGCTGCCGGCTGAACCACGTTCTGAACATCGAAGCCGCTGACACTGCATCTCGTAGGCGACTGCCCGCACCCGATCCTGCTAGCCGAAACATAAAGTCCGAATCCCAGCCCTAAACCCTAAACTCTAAACCCCTAAACCCTAAACCCCTAAACCCCAAACCCCTAAACCCTAAACCCTGATCCCGCCAGGTCATTCCAAAAGTACAGCCTAGCGGTGAGCGGATGATCTGCAGGAGGGGTTGGGGGAGTCAGAGAGTGTTAGGGTTTAGGAGTTTAGGGTTTAGGATTTAGGGTTTAGGGTTCAGGGGTTTAGGGTTTAGGGTTCGGGTTTAGGGTTTAGGGGTTCAGGGGTTTAGGGGTTAAGGGTTTAGGGTCAGGGTTTAGGGTTTAGGGGTTTAGGGGTTTAGGGTTTAGGGTTTAGGGTGTTCATGGAAGCCTACTGTAGCGGTCGGAAGAAAATGTCACATTCTCGCCTGATAGTGCATATATATATATATACATATTTATGCATGCATGCATGTAAGTCTCTATGTATGTAGGTGTGAATCTAATATGTGTTCAAGTTGAAACACAAAAACACAGGGTTTACGCACCGATCATCTGCAAGGAGCCAAGTAATGCAGTCACGCGCCCTTGAGCTATCCAACCTCCAGAGCTCTGCCGCCGATCATGTCCAGTACCTATGGGTCGTCCTCTCAGGTTCCCGTTGGTTTGAGAACCCATCGGGCTTGAAGACTCGCGACAAGGACTCTGACCATCACCTACTCTCTGAACTCCGAATCCAAACACCACAAAATCCAGGCCAAGAGGGCAGACAAGGAAATACTTGGACATATTGAGCCAACATGGAGAAGACCGTGGCAGTGGCAATAACGGCAGTACAAGGTGCTTAAACAAGACTCATTCCGAACCACCGAAAGGCACTGGATTTTATGTTTTGAGGCCTAGTGATACAGACAGGGCTGGCAGGACCAGGCATACTGTTGAATACCGCTTGTTGCTGATGATTGCTTTGCCGTGCTGCTCCTAACTTTAGGATGTGCAGATGTCCAGCAGTCAGTTTGGCTGGCATTTCTCTCAGAGTTTGAGCTGTAGACTTTGACGATCTTCTACCAATACCTCAAGAATCAGTCTAAGAGTCTTAGAATCTCACCCTCTCGGGTCTGAAATTGCGCGTCTAAATCTGGTGCAAAGAAAAGTTACGTTGGGTTTTGTAGTGGGGTCTGCATCCCTGGCAGTAGTTTAGCATCTCGGGCTAGGGTGCTGCTAAACAGTGGCCCAGGCATTCTCTGTGCCGCCGCTGCACCTTACCTGGGCAATCTACTCGCCCGCAACCATGTGCAGTCAAAGTTATGTATACAAGTCGTGTAGTATACCTGACACCTGAACCCTGTTGTTTGCAACTACTTTACCGGGTCAGTGGCCATGATGGACAGGGGAATCAAAAGGCTTGCAGAGGACAGTGCCGCCGACAGCACCGAGATGCCCACAGCGGCCACTCTGGAGCAGGTCGGCGATGTCTGCGTCTGGAATTTGGAGACGGCGCTGGGAGTTTTATGCTGGCCAGCTCTCATCTGCTCCGCTTGGCTTCTCCTGTGTTCAACCGCATGCTTCAGAGTGGCATGAAGGAAGCGCAGCAGGGCGTCATCAGGGTGGATATGGCGAGCCCAGAGGAGTTCAAAGAATTCTACAGTTTACTCGGACTTTGGTCATGGAGCGCCGACAAAGTGACTGGGGCAAACGTCGATTCACTTCTTGCAATCAGTGACTACTACCAGGTGGATATAATGAAGCAAGCCTGCGAAGATCTGCTGCTTAACCTTCCGCCCACTGGTGCTCGCCTCCTGCAAGCTAAGGAGCACCACCTCAAAAGACAGTACCTCAGGTGCGTTGATGCTATGGCCACGAGGAGTACAAAGGAGGACTTGGAGGTGCTTCCGCCGGATGTCCTTGTGGAGGTGGCCTTCAAGAAGCAACAGATTTTGGAAAAGTTCGCGGGCATGGCGGATAGGTTGACAAGGTTGATCGATATTTTAATGGAGAATGAACAACTAACACGATTATTCTCCGCAGATGAGCGATTGAAAGACTACCTGAAAGAACTGGCAGATTCCATCGATGGTGCCGAGAGCCCTTATCGGTCCTGATTTGCTTGGTTTATTTCGTGTGATTGCAATAGTTTGCAAAATGGTGTGCAAACAGAGTTGAAATCATGTTGCCACCATGAGACTGCTGCAGATGCCTGACGAGATCTGTTGTGTCTGACACTGCCAAGCCGTTTTCGGCAGTGGCCTTGAACTATACACCTCATTTCAAGACTCACTACTCTGATGGTGATTGCATGCCATCGCCTACCAGTAACGGAAAAGCAAGTGGCATCGACTACAGGTTTCGTTGAACCTCACGCTCTTGACCTTTGTTGATGAGAATCATGTGGGTAGTTATCAAAATTATGGTCGCTTTTGGGGTACCCTAAATAATAGCTGCCGTATTATAATAAGGACCCAAAAAGGGACCATAATCTTGACAACCACCCATGTTGAAAGGACTCTTCACCCGGAGCAAGAGGGCTTGGTGGCCTTGCAGAAGGCAGGGGTCTCTCCAGGGATCGCTACAAGAAGTTGCGGCTTCATGCACTTTTTCGTTCATCTGTCTGGTGCTTAGTAGGGAATGGGGGAATGGATCCCTATGATAGTCCCTTAAGGTCCCTTGTAGTAGTCCCTATAACCCATTCCCCCATTCCCTACTAAGCACCAGACAGTCATGGCCACTCTGGTTTCGGACACATGGAAGGGTTCCAAAATAACAACCCCTAAACCCTAAACCCCTAAAAACTTCGATTAGGGGATCCTCCTGGGCGTAAGCTTTGGCTGGACGGTTTTGGTGATGGGCTCAGACAGTGGAGTGTAGGTCCCAAAAGCTCTCTTTGTTCAACATGCCCCAACTATTGCTAGACGGCGGCTGGGGTAGAGAAAGCCCAACATCATGTAGTCTTGAATCTAACACGATTTCCTGAGGCATACAAAGTGTTGGATCATTGTGGGTTGAGAACTTGTCTGAAGCACGGCCTGCGCTTTTTTGTGGTCTCTCCTTCGTCGAACTCACAACTTCCGTGTGCGAATCTTGCTCTGCTGGGTAAACATTAAGCTTAGTTTCCCTGTTTCTAGGAATGGGGGTGTTTAGGGTTTCGGCTTTACTGCGTGGCTCTTATTGTTTGTTCGAGGTTGGTTGCGGGATTCGTCGTGGACTTCGGCAGAATCCTTCTGTTTCGTCCATAGTATACAGAGGTATCAGATATGTCTGAGAGTGTGCTTTGGAAGATGTCCTGACAATCCCCATCCACCCCTGGCACTTGAAGGATTATAGGATCCTAGGGTAGGAAGTACGATACTCTACTTGCGGTACGTAGAATTACCGTCACCGTTCTGCAACTATACAATTACTGTCATCCTGCAAGTACTCGACCATAGGCCATGAGCCGTAGATCGAGTATCCTGATTCCTGCCACTCACTCAACAGTCGCCCAGCTTCCATCATGAGAACTTGCACCTAAAGCGCCATGAAAGGCCCAAAACCCTGAGGCCTAATTTTAAACGCTTCGCGTCGTCGCCTCGGCCCGATAGCTGTTTTGGGGGGGTGGGGGTCGCTGGGGAGGGGATTAAGAGGTCGGGATTAGAGGGTCCGAGTACAAACCTCTGGCGAATGAACCTAGAGACTCCAAAAGCCCTTAATTAAGGAATATACCTTAAATTATAATAGAATCCCTATATGATTTAAGGTATATTCCTTAATTAAGGGGTTTTGGAGTCTCTGGGAATAATGGACTCCGGGGCTAAGCGAATTGGAGCTCCTTCACAGGCAAACAACACGTCGCTCATCCACTCCTTTCACAACAAGCCCGTGCCTAAGGCAAGGGTAATCCTAAGGCTTTCAATCATGGGAGATGGACACAGCCAGAAATCGACCCTAAACCCTAAACCCTAAACTAAACCCTAAACCCTAACCCCCCCAGTTTCGAAGGCGGCCAGCCAGAAATCCTTGAGGTTTAGGATTTTGGTTTCGGGGCTTACATGGAGGCTCATGGGGTTTAATAAGTACAGCTATAAGTACTTTAATTGGGGTTATAAGTAAGTATAAGTATAGTTACCTTATTTATAGCCTTAATTACTAAGTCCCATGAACTTCCAAGTATGGGGCAACCCCAAAACGTCAGCTTAAACCCAGAGACTCCATGAAGCAAGACCTTCACCCACCAGAACGATTTGTTGTAGGGTCCCTATAAATCCCCTATTAGGGTCTCGAATAAGGACCTACAGAAAAAGTGGGTTTTGGTGGGTTAAGGTATACCTTAGTTCAAGGCAGATCCCTCCTTGATTTAATCAGTGCTTGGAGGGTCGGGGGGCTTAGTAGCCAGGTCAGAAATAGATTGATAAGTACCTCAAGAGGGATCCTAATTGGGGTTATGCTACCTATCAGTCTATTATATCTATAAAAATAGCTACTTACAAAGTCACCGACCTTCCCAACAGGACGCATGTCCCATTGAATTGGATCTCCCAGACAATTAGCACATGCCAAGAAGCATTGGTTTAGGCTTTGGTCCTGGCTTGCAAACCCTGCTGCCCAACAATCAAAACAACTGCACATTCCTCGATTTTGACACTATCGGTAACTTCCTGGCTCATTCTTGCAAGCTTGAAACCCTAAATACGGCCGAAGCCCTAAGCCCTATCACATCAGGTGTTTGTTCAGGCCTTCACGTTCCTGTAGTGTAGATTATGGGATCTTTGGAGTTGGTGGCTTCGACTTCTTTTCACACAGTACCTGTACTCTAAACCCGCCTACAGGGTCCGAAGCACATATGTGAGGGATACTTACCCAAACCAGAATAGTGACTCCTACTATAGAAGCCCTACTTTCTACCATGTAGGTACTTAGGATCCTAAACTCTAAACCAGCGTAGTGCCTTCAAATGAACCCTTGAAGCACATATAGTTATAGAAACCCTAAACCCTAANNAAGAGGTGTCAAAAAAAAAAAAAACCTAAGAGGAACCCTAAACGGAACCCCCATAGTACCCTTCGGGTTGAAGCCCAAGACGAGTCGCAAAAGGATAAAAGGATCTAGGGCTCAGCTCGAAAAGGAATTGCAGCCCTTGTTGATGCTTGGGGTTTAGGGTGTTGATGTTTGGGGTTCAGGGTTTTGATGTTTAGGGCTTATTTAAATTGTAAGCAAAGCGTAGGCTTACTTAACCCCCCCAAAAAAGTTGGTAGAATACTGGCCCGACACCTATAGACGGCTATTTTTCTACATACTTGCGGGGTCCAGGTAGGGGTTTTTGGTTTGGGGTGTTTTTGCAGCTTAAGGTTCAGAGCTTCGGGGTTCGGGTTTCGCACCTGCCACAGAGACTCTGCTGAGGCTTCAAAACAAAAGCCCCTTTTGAGACCGGTTTAGGGTTTGGGGT